AAAAAAAAATAAAATAAAATAAACCTGGTTCTAAGAAGCTAAGTACAATGAAGGTTATAAAGAGAAAAGGAGGGAGAAATATAAAAGATCAACTATTATCTAATTTTAACTTGGTTAATTGAACCCTGGCCTTCCCTCTTTAAGTAAGGTCAAGTGATATCAGGTCAACTTGATGAGTTGAAAGCCAACTGAGTGAGCAGAGCATGAGAGAGGGTATATACTGCTGTAGACACAAAGAAGGAAGAGTTAGAGATATTTCAACAGAAACAGATGAGACTATCATTAATATCCATTGCTCTCTTATGAACCAAACAACTACTGAAGGTAGACTGATAATAGGGTTAAGAAAAACTGCTGTTATTTGAGTTGTTGATCTTTATAAATACTGTTCTCTGGAAGTGTCAAATTCACAGTCATCATTTAGAAAGTTATCTTTCTCATTGCTTTCCCCACCCTTCATGGCATCCATGGTCCATGTGGTTTAGGGTGGTTTTATTACAAGAATACAGAAAATTCATATACCTACTATAATCTTTTATAAAGTAAATTGTGCAGCATTTGAAAATGTGGTTTGAACTATTAATTAGCAAAGATTAAGAAATATGTTGTTGTTAGGTGCTTTTGAGTCACTTTTGACTCATAATGACCTCATGTACAACAAAATGAAGCACTACCTCATCCCGTGTCATCCTTACTGTAATGCCGAGCTGCTGAGACACCAGAACATGGAGTTGTTTCAGAGAAGTAGTTTATTAGCACTCCCGGTCGAGGTTCTTGTGCCCTAGCATCAAGGCCAGAGAAGTCGCACCCCCGGGCAGGGAGGATAAATTCTTATAGACACAGAGAGGACTTAATTGGGGACAATAAGAAATGGCAGAGTCCAATTAGCTATTGGCATGGGTCTGCACCTAATTAGCATGAGGGGGCTTCACAGGAGAAAGTTTATCATCACAAGGGACTTTCCAGCTTGGGCGGGTTCTTCCACCTTGGTTGTCTTATCAGGTTGTCTTATCAGGGCCTGACACCTGGAGGAAGTTGCCAACTGAAACGTTGGTGGTTTGAGTTTACTCCGGCCTAACACTTACTATTGCTGCTATGCTCAAATCCATTGCTTTAGCCACTGTGTCAATCCATCTGGCTGAGGGTTTTCCTCTTCTTTGCTGACCATCTACTGTACCAAGCATAATATCTTTCTACAGGGATTGGTCCTTCTTGATACAAGAGATATAGCTATAGAAATCTGCATTCCTGAACCATCAATTTTGAGGCTCCCTAAATGACCAGAGGAGGTTGATTACCTATGGAACTGAGTCTAAACAATATCTTTAGGGAAAAAAAAAAAAAAACCTTTCCCCTCATATATCCTAATTGGAAAACATCAAACAAAAATTTAAGCCTGATATCCATCAATTCCTGCACTTTCCAGTTTACAGACATTATGTGCACATTTTCTTTGAAAACCAAGGTAATGATCAATTGCATTCTGAAATCTGGCCAAAATAAAACATATGTCTTCCAAGTGGAGTATAACCCTGTGTTCAGAATTATATCAACTGAAGGAAACACACCTTTGGCCACATCAGTTATCATTTGTTTAACAGGCCAAGTATTATTGTGGTAAAATAAAAATGTTCAATGCTATAATGCTTTGGTATTGACATTTACCTTAAAGTTCCTCTACTGTCCAGCAAAAGGAGCAAGAACTGTGCTATTAAAGCATTAGATTTCTACTGAGAAAAAAACAATGGACAAGTGAGCTCATTTTGCGTTGCATAACTGTGTCTACAATGTCATGATTCTTTGTACATTAACTTACATACTCCAGAAGAACAACTGTTTTCCAAGAATACCCTACTCTTTCCCCTTCACCTTCCTGTTAATCAAGATGAGGATAAGGGGATTTAAGTTTGTAAAGAGAAGGCAGTCATTTTCCATGACCTCAAACACCCAAGAAGGGGTCGCTATGAGTCAGGTCTGACTCGATGGCACATAACAACACCAACAGCATGACTGTAGTAAATATTGGGTTATATATGAAAAGAAGCTTCTTTTCAATACAAAAGAGAAACTTCTCAGGATTTCCTCAAATACTGAAGCAATATTTTCTTCACTTTTTCAGTAACATGAGAAAGAAAGGCTACCTGCAAGAAAGAATGACAATCCAGCTATAGGAGACATTGGTGGTCTTGATGAAGATTCCATTTGGTCACAGTTCCCGGACAAGTAATGAAGGAATCTGGTGTGGGCAATCTGCTAGCCACTCTCTCCTGTAATCTCTTTATTGAAACTATCTTCAGGTGGATGGTGTTTATCTTATTTACTCAACACATCTCTCTGGAGCCCTTCTTCCCAGACTATTTCCTGTTGTTATATTGGAGAGGAAAACAAGTCTCTGGAGAGAAAACCACACAGGCTTTAATTTCTGTTTCTACTGGAAGACAATCATTTTTATACCATTTTCTAAAAACATATATGCAGGAACATACACACATGTATATTTTGCTACAAATGTGTTTAGAACAGAAAGCATAGTTGAAATTTCATGAGTGAGAAAAAACTTCAGTTTCTTCGTAATGAACTTGCAAAGCAAGTTAAGGTCATTCATCCATGTACTACTATTTTCATAGCTTCTCAGTAAATTTATTCTTAAAATTAATTTATTTAAAAAGTTTTTCATTAGTGAACTTCTGTGTGTTGTACATATGGGTACCGACACGTATCTGTATATACATGCAAGAAGTTAAAACACAATTACTAAGAATCTAAGAACTATCCTATAGACTGCTGCGAAAGAAGAACCAATGGAAATAAAGTGGACACTGATATCTAATATTAAAGGAGAGAAATGTAAA